GTGTTTTTATTTTTTCTGTGAATCCATAAGTTACAGCGTTTGCAGTATTGCACTGGAAGAATCAGCTACCTACCTTATTAGCAAATGCAAGACGGGGCACACCCATCTTTAATTTGAATTTATTAATATAGGCCACTTTGTCATAATAGAAATGCTGCAGGAGGACAGAATTTACCCGTTTTGCAACTGCATGAATTGTGGTAACCACAAAGTATTACCCTCAATAATAGGGTGGAGCTTTCGAACCCTCAATGTTAGAGTGTGGGCAGTGATGCACTTGTTTTTAACAAATATAGAAAAAGATCTATTTGGTTACCTCCAAGTGACCAATCCAAATGTCCTATCTGTCTGCAGTACACGTTTCATCATGGACACTAGTCTGGGTTGGAATAAGTGTAAAGGTAAGGTCTGTCCAGGTATCAATACAACATTTGGTAACGTTAATAATGGTAGCGACATATAACAATCATCCTCCAATACTGTACGACCACTGTATTCTTGCAAGTCTGTCCCAAGGTACTGTTAAAAAAACATTGAAATATATGTAGAAAGCATCACAATACTCTTTGTTATTTGAATCTCCTAATCATTTACAAATATACTTTTAGGATTCACATTTTAATGGGAAACAAGACAAATCAAGTGTGCAATCGATGGATGGATAAACTAGTGGTTCGTACATGCAACATGGGCCTTTACTGTCACCACACATAGTGTTTAAACAAGGTTACTTTCAGACTGCTGGTAAAATTGGGAAACCACTCTTGATTACTTCCCATTAGCAGAGTTGAACGCATCATGGGAGATGTGTAAACCACTACAGCCTTTTGAAAATCATATATAACTAACTGTATGCCATATTTGTGCTTTTTTTCTCCGCCATAAAAAAACAGTTGTTCCAAATATATGAAAAATGTTCCACATTTTATTTTCGCTATTACATATTATTCTAATTTTTGCCTGCCTGGGGAGCAGGCAATTTTGTAGAGGAGATATCGGATATAGTTCATATTGTGAAGTCCACAGACTGGTCAGTGGTATATGATTACGTGTTATGGATGCACAGGTTTCTTGAGTTTACACACAACACATTGACGTCACAGTCAAAGTATTGAACGCTTGTCTGAAAGCAACATTGCTAACTGATTAGTAAATTTGCTCGACAACGCACTGCAATGCTTTTCAAATGCTACATGCTACAATAGTAAAGACTATATACATACTGAATGAGCTGTGGGTAACGATGGATCATAGTTGATATTCTGATTGGAATCTTTCTTTTTATCTTTTTTCTTGTCATTAGAACTTTTTTTCTTATCTTTTTTTCGATCAGTGTCTTCCATCATTTCAACTTCTATCTGTTCTGCATCCACTTCATTTTCTTGAATGAAATAACAAAAAGTTTTTTTCAGTTAATTACCTGTACTTTGTCCAGAGTTCAGACAGTATTTGGTGATCACATCTCGCAGTTTGTTGATCCATGTGCTTAAGATATATGTACGGGTGATATAAGATGAAGATCATATAATAGAGATTATTAATCTTCAGGTATGTAATGGCAATCTTGAGCTTCAACCTGAGCTTGCTCAGAGTCAACCTGAGCTCCACACTGAGCTTCAACCTGAGCTTGCTCAGAGTCAACCTGAGCTCCACACTGAGCTTCAACCTGAGCTTCCTCAGAGTCAACCTGAGCTCCACCCAACTTGAACCCTGGAAATTGTTTACAACAGAAGCTCTAAATTCAAATCAGTTGTGTTGGAGTCACACATTAAAGCAGTTGTTTCACACACATGAAACATTTTTCCTTTTTTTATTCTAATCTTTATTTCTGCAGTTACAGTTTTATTTTATTCTGAAAAGGAAAAATTGACTAATTATTTAAATAATAATAATGTTTATTTAATATTACTATCAGTCTACAACATAAAGT